ACAAAAATATGCATATTATTGTCTAGATGTCAACATACTCATGGTCTCTTACAATGAAAAATAAAAATTGTGTGAATAAATGTAACAGAGATATTTTTCAAGGTCTGTCATTAACTGTACGACAACACAAAGTTCCCTAAATGACAAACATTAAGATAACACTAGAGTGTTCCAGAATTGGAACCAGCAATGCACATGTGAAGAACGTTCATTTGTCAACCATTAAGTATGGTTATGTGATTAAAGATTTGCATGACTGCGCATAAATCATTTCTCGTGACGAACAGAAAGCTGTGTTGAGGTCATGACTCAAAAGAGATAAAGACAAAATCAATGAAAGCAACATAACAAGTCAACATAAATGGACATCTTCAGCTATTGCCTTCACCATAATGCTTCAAAGATGAACAAGCACACATGCAAGTGTATAGCAAGCTCAATAAAAATCTGGCTTTCAAACTTAAAACCTGGATCGCTGACTTGGTAAAAATATGCAACATTAAACTCATTAGCAACAGTGCCATCCATCTTTCACACACTAAGAAAGATTGTGGCAACGTTTGATCTAGATCCACTAGGCGAATATTTGAAAAAAGTGGTAGAGTCATATAATGACAATTCTCTCGATAAGCAGTCATTTGAAGGTTAACATAACTATATTTTCTTGTATATATTGTCCTGTCCAAATACGGTTTCTTCTTTTCTATTACAGTTTTCACGTGAATTACAAAAACGCTACAGTTGATAAAAAAATTTGTTATTTTAGATCCACAAATTTCGGTAATTGTCCAATTTCAAATTTTTCAGTTCTTTGACCACTATTATTTTGTGTCACAAACCTATGCTGTGTAAAATATTCAATCACAATCCAAATTCAGAGCTGTTTTAAGCTTAAATATTGTGTCCATACTTGCTCAACTGTTCAGGGTTCGACCTCTGCAGGGAAATCCGGTTTGCTGTCACTCTGACAGCCTCTTGTTTGTTGTTTATTTCCAAATTTGCACAAACATTTTCACTAAAACAAGTTTAAGTGTTTATGTAACATTTGAACTGTATATAACATTTTCATATTCGATTTTCTTTTTTTATCCATTTGATGGGCTCAGGACGAACATTCGGAGGGTTTGCTGCCCCCAATTCCCTAGCATATATCTGCTTACAGCTCTCGTAATAGCTCTTAGTAGAACGAAACGCTTCATATCAACTGTAAGAAA